AGGGCATATTTTTTCAAAGTATAATACAATTGTTAATCGAGTAAGTTAAATTGCCGTAATGTATATTAAAAAAAAAAAAACTCTTTCAATGATGAAACAAAATTCACCTATAAACCGAGCGTTTAATTTCAAATTTACCATCCTATTAATATACTTCACAAAATGGAATAATTGAATTGTTATATATAGGAGAAGTCATATAAAAAGCTTATACAGCAATCAAGTTTTGTTTGAAACAAAGAGAGAGAGAGAAAGAGAGGTCGCAAAAGCATAATGTTTTCTCTATGCAAATTAAAATGTAAATCTTTTGAAATCGTACAATTTGTGAAAAAATTATAAAGCAAAGTATAGTCCTCTATTAGAATTAATTATAGGAATTGCAATTATAATTAAATCGATGGGAAAAATTCTTTTTATATTATATATTTTCATTAATATTAAAATTAGGTCATCATTTAATTAGCATTAATTTTTTGTTTGGAAATTTTTTTCATTTTTGAGATTTGAAAAAGATAAAATGTTATCTCAATTAGGAAGATGATAATTTTGTGTTGAGTATATATAAGATTAATACTACCAGTGACTTGTTCTATATATGCGGGTAGAAAATGATTTTCATGGCGTACGCGCTCGTTACGGATGATTTAACCACAGCGTCCAATTAAAGCCCCCCAGACAACGTTACACACACGAAGATTGTTATCTCTTGAGAAGCGCAATTATGTAAGTAAATGCATATATAGCCTCATATATACTATATATATATGTAGGTACACATATGGACCTTCGTAGAGAGTGCAAAATTCCACTTGAAGCACTACAAGAATGTGATCTCGTTCGAATGGAATCCTGCCCTGCTAATGACTAATGACTCAAGTCATAAAGATCTACGCGACTTTTCTTTCTCTTTTTTTTCCTCTTCCATATAGATATATATATTGCCTTCTGCAAAATTCCTATAATCCCAGCAGCTATACACTTCACTTAATTAATAACTATTTATTTCCAATTTACTCACGCTTCCATTCATTCTGCTTCCTTAGGAAAATTATTTTCACATTAGAGTATGGAATTCCTTGCGGTATACAAAGATATCCGCTGTACATATCGTATATACTTAACGTACTGAAAACAAAATTTATTTGATTCAAATAATCACAAATCTGCATCTGCATCACAAATTGTCGTCTTTAGGGTTAAAATTTTTAAATTGTTTAATATAAAATTTTAAAAATCGAATCTTAACGTTGAAATTTGATATTGAAAATTTCGAAATTTTAACACTAGAGGACAAAACTTGTGAGGCAAATTCGAGTATGTCCTTTTAAAATCCGGAGCCTCAATTGTAAAAATTGTGCTGTAAACAAGTCCGATTTGTGAATTTCCCAAAATCAGCTGTTTTGTGAAGACTACATAACTTCTTTTTGTAGATAACCCATGAGATTCTTTAGATAATACAAGTAATTTTTTTCCGTGAAATATCATTTAATTGACTCAAAAATTATTTGGTGCAAGGAAATATTTATTTGTATAGTACAGAAAAAAAGATGTTCCGATTTTGTAAAACATTGTATTAATTTTCGAAATGAAAAATCTTTCAGTGCAATGTTTTTTCAGTATCTTTTGTTCCATATTTCTTTGTTTTATTATTTTATTTCTTTATCCTTTGTTCTAAAATCCGAAGAATGTTTTTTTTAACAAAACTATTACAAGAAAATATGATACAATAAAAAAAAAAAAAATTTCCTCTCATGTCAGTGGCAAATAATTCGAAAACGAAATTCGAAGTATTTCTAAAGAAGATTATATCGAATGAACGCGAAAAGGGTTTATTTTTTTTTATGATAAGCCGATTGTCAAGTGCAATATAGAGACTAGAAAGATTCTTACGACATACTTGGCGATAGGATTACACACTCTTTTTTTTACGACAGCAATGAACATTCTTATCGTTATCAGTGCTCAATGGACAAAGTTTCGCGGAACGAGCTTATATCGACGAGTTTTGCAAAAGCTATCTTTCTCTCTATATATATATATATAGAGAGAGAGAGAAAGGCGCATGTTATATACTCGATGAATCCGATATATCTCCCTTTAAGTTGGGTCCAATGTTAAAAGCCTTATGATTCAGGCCTGGTTCGCGTGCGTGGCGGGAACATTTAAGTCGTTGGCAGTTTACTCAGCAAAATACTGCAAGGTCATTGCTCTGCCATTAGCGTCAGCACACGATCCAACATCTTTGTGGATGAAAGCCATATTGATCCAGACTTCGATATGTTCGCCTCTTCCGGTACTTCACTATATGCACCTTCTTCATATCAGATCACTCATCCATGATTCGTGCTTCTATATACCATCTTTAAAAAAAAAAAAAACGCGACGAATGATAAACGATTACCGATTGCAAATCGAATCGAATTTTTTTTTTTTCCTTATGAATAGATAACGCTTCTTGTACAGTAAATCCCTCTCCGATTAACCTTTACTACTACTGCCGACAGATTTATTTCTATGTGGGAAGATTTGTGAGAAAAAAAATATTGACAATATTTAGGAAAATTGAAATACGAAATGGAAAAAAATGAGGGACATTTGAGAGATGAAATTTTTAAAAGCGAAATGAAATTTGCTTCAATAAATATTACTGTGTTTGAATTAAGTACAGCACTTTCTGCTAAGTATTATTCGTAATTGGAAGGTGGAGGCAAAGGAAGTAAAAGTAAAGGAGAGCGGCAGATGCAAAAAAGGGCGATTTAATTTCTTCTTTAGGAGCGATCCCAGACCGTAGGATGGAAAGGTACGAGCCATTAGCTTCGGTCACAGGGTGCAACGTTGCTGGGCGCTCTTCGCTGGCTGGCGTAGACGATCTTTTAATCCAAATTAATGCTTTTAGCAAAATTACCTGAAAGCTTGTAACGCGCACGACCTGCCCCCCCCCCCCCTCTCTCTCTCTCTCTCTCTCTCTCTCTCTCTCTCTCTCTCTCTCTCTCTCTCTCTCTCTCTCTCTCTCTCTCTCTCTCTCTCTCTCTCTCTCTCTCTCTCTCTCTCTCTCTCTCTCTCTCTCTATATATATATATATATATATATATATATATATGCGCCAGACCACGTTTACTCTCTATCGTTGGCCTTTCTCTCGTTTTTTATTCTCCCTATCTATTTCTCCTCTCGTCTCCTCTTTTTCAATCAATGGCACTCACCCATTCATTCGATAGAAACCACCTGACCAGATGAGGAAAAAAAAGTGTTAAAAGAAGGGTCACTTCTGATTACCACAAAATCACAATTTTCAACCTTTTCTTCTGATAAAAATTTACTTATGTTTTATAAACGGACAATGTGAGGAAAAAATATAAGAGAAGCAGGAGAATGGCGCCTCCATCGCAAGCTTTCGTGGCCAATATTAATATTACCGTTGCTAAGGAAAAAATATTCTTAGCGACCGTTGCTAAAGAAAAAGTATCCTTAGTAACGGTTGTTAAGGAAAAATGATCCTTAGCATCGGTTGCTAAGGAAAAAAATCCTTAGCATCGGTTGCTAAGGAAAAAAGAACCTTAGGAACCGTCGCTAAGGAAAAACGATCCTTAGCAACCGTTGCTAAGGCATTTGGGCCTAGGCCACGAGAAATTCGAAAAAAGATAGTAAAGAAAAATTAACACTAACGAAGAGTAAAAAAAAAGATCTATGAAGCACATAAAACTGTGAATGAAAATGGAAAACTTCTCTAAATAATAATAATAATAATAATAATAATAATTTTTGTCCCATTGGAAATTTACCAATTTTTCTCGTAATTTATTTTTGTTTTAAAGATTTCCCTCCCCCACTAAAAACGCCTTTTGAAACGGTGGTAGTTGATCTAACGATTCGTTGAGAAAAGACCGGAAGTTCGCCTCGGAGCTTTTTCGCGGATCGTACAGCATTCGTTTTGGTTGTAGGGGGAGAGAGAGAAAGGGGGAGGGGGAATGGATAAGGGAAGGAGGTTATGTTCGTTCTGAATTCGTTGAGAAGACTTTGCAACTGTTGGTTGAATGTGTGTATATATACGGATCCTCTCCGTGCCTGCACCGCACCAAGAGTACGAGACGAGCCTGCAGAATCTGCCGGAACCGGAAAGCGTCATCGTCCGCATATCAACGAAATGTTAGTCAACGAATAAAACCAGAGACTACATGTAACGAATACAGTGCGCTTCCCGTAAATACGATCTTCTCATACACGATGAATATAAATAAGACTATTATATTTTGTATATATATCAACTATATATGTGAATATATATATATACATATGAGCTTTAATAAAAATTGCATTTCCAGCAATAAATCCTGTTTTATTTAAGTTTCATCGCGCAAGCAATATACGCAGTGCGCAAGCTAAGGGATATTGTATATATATATCGTCAAGTAGAAATTATGCCCTTGTAGAAATATTTTTTTAATTTTTACTATTTTTAATGTCGATATATGATATACAGAGTCAGCCTGTTGGAATGTTTGAAACTACCATGTCTGACTAAAATTTATTTCTACTACTGATACAAAAATAATTTTTTTTTTTTAATTTTTACTATTTTTAAGGCAAATATATTTTGTACTTATTGAATTTTTAAAAACTAATACCAGATTTGTCTGATTAAAATTTACTTCTACTACTAATACTAATGTAACTACACAGAAAATTAAAAGGCATTAAAATAAGCTGCAACGCTTATTATTTTAATCCAATTTTGCTTATTTTAATAACAAAATGGATTAAAATAAGCAAAATTGGATTAAAATAATAAGCGTTGCAGCTTATTTTAATGCCTTTTAATTTTCTGTGTACTAATGTAAAAAAATTCCAAGAATTTAACCTATGATGTCTGACTAAAATTTAATTCTTCTACTACTAATTTAGAAAATTATAATGGTTGTTAGAAAATTCCTTTTTTAAAACTTTATTTTTAGAATTCACACTACTAAAAAATTTATAATTGTTTTGTTTTTTTGTTACAGATACGAAAATTCCAAAAATTGTCTGACTGAAACTAACCTTTACTACTGATGCCAAGATTATAACAATTTGGTAAGTTGGTAACGAACTTTTTCTATAATATTTTATATGACTGATTTACTATATTATTTATTATTATTATTATTATTTATGTTTCTAATGTCTAAAGACTACACTGAAAAAAGTATATTTGATTCAAATAATCTTTTATTTAAATATTATGAAATAAATATTTATTATTATTTGCTACTAACAAAGTAACCGATTATTTGAATCAAATAAATTTTTTCAATGTATAAATGTCTAAATTAAACATACCTTTACCACTAATTAAAAATTCAAGAATTTAGTTTTTTTGTCTCGTAGTACTGAATATGGATAAATACCGTATAGGAAGAGGTAGAAAAAACTTTAAATACTGAAATATTTAACTCAACAAAAAAAAAATGATTGAATTAAAAATTTTTTAAATTTAATTAAAAAGCAAAATTTTTTTTTTTAAACAAAACAGAAAGAATACTTTATGGAATAACAAATATTGGTTATCTATTGTATTCTGATTATTATGCATGCCCACTTGGCTATATAGTAGTTTTGTGACCACGTATATATATATATATATATAGTGATAGTAGTTGTAGTAGTATCATTGTAGAGAATGAACCGTTCGCGCATGGTTGGCAGTTCGTCGATTTTTATTGGCGCTTTCTCATATATATATATATATATATGTGTGCATTTGCTTCTGCTGCAATGCAACCACGGAAGTGCACTCGATCTATTGTTAACCAGATTTATATGATGTAACGATGACTATCGGAAACCACCTATGGCTAGCCTACATCTCCTCTTTTCATTGGTGCTTCAGAATAACGTATTTCATCTTCCGCGATCTTCTTTTGTTATCCATTTTTTTATATTCAAAATCTTAACAAAACTTTTGTAAAAATATTCTTCTCTAACATTATATACTTTTCACATTATCTCCCTCTCTCTATCTATTGTCACTTCATGGTCTGCAAAATTTTGCAATAAAAGTTCTATATTTTTTTTCATCAAAGGATTATTATTGTTAGAAAAGAAAAAAGGGTAATATTTTAGAATTTTTTTTTTTTTTTTTAGAGTGAAAATTAACTTTTTAAAACAAATGTAGAGCAAAAGTGAAATGAAGTTTTTCTTTTGAGAAAGTCATTAGTGAAATTTTCCATTTGTGAATTTAGGGCTAGATATTATTATTATTGAAAGTTGTTCGTCCATAGTCTGATAGTTATAAGGCGACCCATGAGCCAGGGGCTTTAATCGCCTAACGGCTTTTCACGTCCAAAGAAGCGCATATAGTTCTCGGAGACTGCTTTTGGCCTCTTATCTCGTTTGGAGACAATGTGGCGTCTGTCTTCGAGAAGCGGCGCGGAAAATTCGGCATTGCGCTAAAACTCATCATCCTATATAAGTCCAACTCGAGTCTCTCGCCACCTTTATAATATTCTCTCTTACTCTCTATCTTTCTCTTTCTCTCTCATATACTCGGCCATTGTGGAATTGTACTATTCATATAGTATATATATATATATATGTGTGTAGAATGTCTCTTTTCGAGCGGGTCCTGCAAATCACATTAGCGTCAGACGTGTAACGTGTTTTCCTGTTTTGCAAGCACTTCGCTATCCTCGACTAACCATCCCGAGGCGAAGGGAACAGGGAATGCCACAAAACTCCTCGAGAATATTCATCTGCAACATTGTATATATATATATTTTGTTTCATCTCTGTTTTACGATTGTTCACGCAAAGCAGTCGTTATTTCCACACGAGATGAATTGTAACGCCTTTTTGCTTCTTTCTTTCTCTTTTTTCACTTTGTGCGCACAATTTTCAAATTTTTCAAATTATAATTGCGTGTACTGAAAAGAAAATTCGTGATTTATGATCCTTGAAATTAGTTCAAATTACCTTGTGTATCGTATTTTCAAAAGCCAAATTTTCATTTGGATGAATTTGATACCTATAGGTGCGAATTTTTATTTAATCGAATATACAAAGCGTTTAATTTTTATTGAAATTTTATACTGAAACAAATTTTTATTCTATACAGAATTCTAAATATCTCTTTATTGGCAAAAAGATTAATGTAAATTGAGGAAATTTTGAATTGCGATTTATTGTTGTTTTGCATCTGTAGTGTTAGGAAAATAAGAAAAGTGACAACAAATCGAGGGATAAACCAGTCTTGTGTTGAATTATCCAGGAATACCTTAAAAAGTACCATAAAGTATCGTAAAATACGCTGGAGTACATTGCAGTACTGAGAAATATCATGAAATATTCTGAATTATCTGAAGTGTCGTAAATTATCTGAAGTACTCTTAATTATTTTGTGGTATTCAAAATTATCTGAAGTATTGGGAAATATCTGAAATACTCTTAATTATATTGTACTATCCAGAATTATCTTGAGTATCGTAAATTATCCGAAGTACTCTGAATTATCTTGTAGTATTCAGAATTATCTTAAATATAAGAAATTATCCGAAATATCGTGAATTATCTAAAGTATTCTAAATTATCTTAAATACAAGAAATTATCCGAAATATCGTGAACTATCTAAAGTATTCTAAATTATCTGAAGTACTCTGAATTATCTTGTAGTATCCAGAATTATCTTTAGTATTATAAATTATCCGAAGTATCGTGAATTATTTGAAGTACTCTAAATTATCTGAAGTACCCAGAATTATCTGAAGTATCGTGAAATATCTGAAATACTTTGAATTATCTTGTAGTATCTAAAATAATTTTAAGTATTGTGAAATACTGTAAATTATCTAAAGTTTAGTAAATTATGTAAAGTATCGTAAAATATCTAAAGTACTTTGAATTATCTAGAAGTATCATGAAGTATCCTGAATTATCTGAAATTTTGAATAACCTGAAGTTTCCTAAATTACTTTTAGTATCTTGAGGTATTCAGAATCATCTGAATTATCATAAAGTATCCTGAATTATCTTGAAGTATTTGAAGTATTTTGAATTATCTTGTAGTATTCAGAATTATTTTAAGTATCGTAAAGTACCCTAAATTATTTGAAATACTCTTAATTATCTTGGAGTATCCTGAATTTGCTGAAAAATCGTGAAATATCCGAAGTACTGTGAATCATCTTAAAGTATCTAGAATTATCTAAAGTATCGTGCGGTCTATATAATATTTCGAAGTACCGAAGTAGACATATATGCATGAAATTTTCGATTATTTGCGCCTCGTAAATAAATAAAAGTGAAAAGAAAAAATCCCTGCGGTTGAACTTTTTCAAGGTGTATATATAACAGTATACTTGTTTATTATTGCAAGATAAATGAGATTTTATTTACCTATTCATATATGCACGCTATAAAATGAATATATGAGGAATGTGTACATAATATTAATTCCATACAAGATGTATATATAATATAATTATAACTAGGTTAAATGCAGCGTTCACACCTTTAATTATGATTCGATCTATATGCGATTGTCACACACACACACACACACACATATATATATATATATATATATATATATATATATATATATATAGTTTACTACACAGTGCGAGACGTTAAAAAGAGGTCGAAACATTTATTGTACGCATGCCGCTAAAGATAACACTCCGTAGTCCCACGGTAATTCATAAGTTATTATTACTCTCTCAAAGTTATGTGTATATATGTGTGTATGACTCGTACAGCTTCTGTCACTCTATCTTTCTTTATATTTTTTTTTTATCTTCTTTTTCTATACATACTAGTACCTATATAGCTCGACAGTATATTAACGTTTGTCATTAATGACTGGTATTTGCACGTCGGTGACGAGATCTCTTTGCCCATTATTTATAGAATGTACGACCATTAAAGACTTATTTTACACGCTGTTCTCGCTTATATTTGCAAATTTTCACTCCTCGAAAATAAATCTCAAACGGAAACAGTGTTGATTCGATTAATTTAATTGCATTGCTCTGTTTTACAATTATAGTACATACTTTTATAAAATGATTCAAATGTTGTTTTTTGCCATCAATCTCTTTAATTGAATTATTTTATTAATTAAATTACTTTAACATGAGTATTTATTTATTTCTTAATAAACAATATAAATTAATTAATATGTTTTTAAAAATTTTTTATTTAGTATAATTTATATTTATTTATTTATTAATAAATAATTAATTATAATATAATATTATGTTAATATAATTTATAGATAAAATGATAATAATAATAATAATAATAATTATTATTAATATTATTATTATTATTATTATAGTTTTAATAATACACTGAAAAAAAATTTATTTGATTTAAATAATCGGTTAGTTAACTATTCTCAAATAAATATTTACTTGAACTAAATAGTTGTTATTTTGAGTCAATTAAGTGGTATTTGTTTGAAATACAGAAATTATTGGTTCAAATACAGTTTATTTAATTGAAATAGAAATTATTTCGTCCAAGTAAATATTTCTTTGACAATAGTCAAGTAACCGATTATTTGAATCAAATAATTTTTTTTTTCAGTGTAATAATAATAAAAATAATAATAATTAAATAATATTAATAAAATTATTACAATTAGAATTGTTTTAATTAATAGAAAATTGCATAAAAAGAATACAATGAAAGAAAAGAATAAATGAATGTTTAAGAATATTAAAAAAAATTAAATGAATAAATAATTATTGAATTTTGTAATTTTTACAATATTTTAAAATAAATTCTCAATTTACCAACTTTTGGTGAATTTTTAAAATTATTTTGCACCGGATATATAATTCGCTCGCACAAAATGGATTACGTAATACTAATTGTGCGATATGTGCACTTCAACTCACGTCTATCAACACGTCCGTCGGTTACCATATAGCTATATATATATATATATATATATATATATATATATACGCTTATATTATATGACTCAATGGCGAAGGCGCATATATGTAGTTAATTGCTCGTTTGCATGTGAAAAAAGAAGGTATCCGGTGAATGTCATTCGGTCGGGAGATTTGAATATCTCAACAAATAT